GTCAGCTGTCAGGTAGGTGATGAGCGAAGAACAGAAACTCACCTGGAGGAACAACTCTCAGGTAGACGGTGCTGATATACTCAAAAATGCTTTTCCTGCCATTTGTTCCTCTCTGGATGACGTAACACTGAAATGTTCCAGTGTCATCACTCGTCACATCCTTCAGAGTCAAAGACACGTCTCCGTCCTCCGTCGATGGAAGCTGGTTCATTGAAATAAACTGCTCATCCCGGTACATAAGGACATGTCCTTCCTGCAGGTCAAGTCTGAACCACTCCACAGATCTGATGGGCACGCTGATGTTTGGAGTTTGACATGGCAGAGACACATTCTGTCCAGGCTCAGCTTTGATGATTTTCCCATCTGAAACAGGGGAAAACCTTATTAGTTCACAGACAGAGAGCCCGCAGAGCTCAGCTGAACTAAAAAGTCTTTTTAATCTGAGATATGGTGAAGATAGAAGTATCTGACACACCGTGAGTTCCTGCAGTATGTAAATACATTTAATTAAAGCAGAGAGAACATTTATAATAAATATAGTATTCTTACAATTACCCACAAAAATGTTTACTTAAGTTTTTATCTCAGATAAGTGTGTGTTAGCTTTGGCAAGCATGGATGCATCATTGGCAAATCTACACATAAACTAATCAAAGTGTTGAAATATATACCTTATTTTAAATAAAACAGTTTTAAAGCCTTATTTCAGACTCACTGTTGCAGTAAGATCAGAAGGACCTGTTTTATTATTATTATGAACAAACAGGATGTGTTGACAAACCAGACTTACAACAGCAACACAGATAGGAAACAGTCATTACACATTCAACAGCTGTACACAGACTTCCCCAGTTGTACGGATTCCCTTCATTTATTTGAGAGACTGTCGGTCCAGAACATGGCTGTCACCAAAACACAGCCCCCAGAGCATAAGGAGAAAGCCTATTTAGTAACTGGCTATCAGCGTGGTAGATAACACAGTTGGGGTCACTATACTGGATACCTGGTATGAAATGAATTTTCTTACTCTATAGTGTTTGAGAGCAGTGCTTTTTAGTTGCTTGTTTAATTTTTTTTTTATTTTTCAGTGTTGCAATTTGTAGACAGTCCCTTAAAACTTAGGCTCATGTATGTCTGAGATCAACTCTTTTGAATCAAAATGAGGTTGTAGATTTTTTAATAACATGAAACGATGGTGTTATTGGAGCTCTGATGAAATTTCTGATAGAAGTTCAAAAATGGTGAATTTCAAGTTAACCTTAAAAAGGGAAGCGATGCAACTCTAATTGAGAAAAACAAGAACTTTATTTCAACATGTGTTTTGATAGCGATTTCCAGACCTCTCATTCATAAACCTTTGACATAAACGCCATAACCATATTAATGCATTAAATCTCCGTTAGCGAGTTAACGTGAATCGCCCCGTGCATGGTCCTGCACGGTGCTAACGAGTTAAGGAGCTAACCACGCTAACGCGTACAACATTTACTAAAATATTTGTTACTTTGTATATTTAAAACATAATCTTAAATGTTAAAACTAAATATTACAGGAAACTAAATATTTAGCTTACATGCAAATTTATATTACCGGTCAATGGAAATACCAAATAAATAATAATAATAATAATAATAATACCAAAATAAAAGCTTTACGAAAACCTCCAGTACTAAAGTGTGCGGTAGTGGTCAGGTTCTTCTTACCGCCATAAGCTGCTTCACTTCTTGCCAGCACAAACACGATTTAGCTGAAAACATCAAAAGAGCCATCCAAAGGTTCAGCAGTAGTGCACCCTCAGCAGCTGCAGTCTCCATCTCACAATCACCGAAGCACATGTCCAGCTAAATCTCTGGAGTTTAAATGAACCCATTTTCTCAACCATATCTAAGGATTAACAAAATCAGAACTTTCACTGACTCTACTTTCTGGAGCAGGGGCTCAGATCTTTAGAAACTCCTCAGTAGCATCTGATCGTGTCATGTACTCATAGACAGCAAGAATCCAAACATGGCT